TTAGATGACATTTGCCACTGGGCAGTTGGCAGCTGTGCATCATGGGTCGTCTTCGTGTGAAACTAGTAGAAGTTACTTCTAACAAGAGTAGTGCTCATGCACTGCTCATCCAAATAGCCAGATCAGACAGCAGATGTACCATGGAACTTTTTCCCAAAGTAAAACTGCTTGTCAGTGCACAAGAATGCTTGTTGCACTGTAGCATCAGATGTGGAAGATTTCTACTTAGATCAATCTCACTTTGAATTAGCAAGTACTCATTTTCTTCCTTTGGTATCTAAAGAATTGCTGTGAAGCACAGGCTGTTGTTGACAGCCTGTACCCTGCATAATAATTGAGCTCTGTGCAGAGATATTTAACAGCTATTTGTTTATGATAAAATCACCTACCACCTTTCCATCCCTATGCACGGTGTAGGGAGATACTATGCAATAAGGTCACTTGGCTCCTTTTTGCATGCACAGATCTGATCTTGCTAAACAGCAGCAAACAAGACGTCACCTGCAGTGCATAGCAAGCTCACTCAGCCCTTTTCAAAACCGAAACCATGGGATGCATTCACACATGCCATCTGCTGAGAATTTTTCTGTTAGGTAATTTTTTACATCCATGAAAACAACTGTCCTTACATGACAGATGAAGGCACAGGAATGTGCAGGAGGCTGTTCCACAAACTTCTTTATCGTGTTCCACAACTCAGTTTAATACTGAGTCTTAAATGTTTTCACCAGCTGGTACAGAATATAGGCACAGTATCAGGTCATTATTTACATTTATTACATTAAGATTTCAGTGGCAAAAATGTATTTCCAGATAAGGTTTTGTGTATTTTCTCTCAGTTATTGTTAATATATTTCCTAAACAAGATTTTGCATTTAAATTTCAAAAGTGCATTTAATCCTGTTCTGCTACAATATATCATTTATCACAGGAGAAGACATGTTTCTCAGTGGAAGTTACTTCTTAAAACATGGGTAGCACATTACTGCATCCATCTCCCTAGTACTACCTTAAATGTGTTCTGGCAGCACAGCAAAACTTTCTATTGATCTTTAAGATCAAGAAGGAATAAGAACTTATCAATAAGCTTGATAAGTTTTAAAAAGTCATATTTTCCTCAGAGACCTTGTTGTGGTTTAACCCGTCAGGCAGCTAAACAGTGGGATGGGGGAGAGAATTGGGGGAAAAAAAGTGAAATTTGTGGGTTGAGATAAAGACAGTTTAATAGGACAGAAAAGGAAGGGGAAATAACAACAACAACAGTAATAATAATAATAATAATAATAATAATAATAATAATAGAATATTTTTTAAAAGTTATGCACAATGCAATTGCTCACCACCCACCAACTGATGCCCAGCCAATGCCAATCCTGAGCATTGGTCACTTCCCCCTGGCCAACTCCCCCCAGCTTTATATACTGAGCATGACGTTATATGGTCTGGAATACCCCTTTGGCCAGTTTGGGTCAGCTGTCCTGGCTGTCCCCCATCCCAGTTTCTTGTGCACCTGGCAGAGCGTGAGATTTGGCCTTGCACTATTTTAGTAACATTTATTCTCTTTAAAAATGTGTCAGTCAGGACCTAGTAAAGTATTGAAACAGAATCCTAAAGTGGCGCACAGCTTTGTGAAAGAGCTACCCAGATCTTCTGAAAGTGAACATAAAAAACCCTCCAAATGTCTCTGGTACGAAGTGGCATTTACAATCACACCAGTATAATGTAAAGCTAACCTCTCTCATTGCAGTGTAATGCAATTTATGTTTCTTTGTGTCTAATGCTGACATTCAATAGATGACAATAATGAGCCTTCTTTGCTGGATGTTAATCAAATTACTAGCTCTGACCTGATCAGGTTAGCTGTAGAAAATTACACTGACTTCTGCATGCACATGAGATAGATGTCTTCTTTCTCTGAAACACCTAGCTGTGGGAGGAATGGTTCAGCTCTGAAAGGTGACAGGGATATTTTCAAGATAAAGGCTGCATGACCAGGCTTCACTGAGTTAAAAGGACATTCTCAAGGCAATACATTCAGCCATAATCCTGGCTAAGATACTTGGACAAACAGCAGCAACAGCAGGAGGGAAGGAGAGAAGGAGGGTTAGCTGGAAGAGAGGCACAAAGGTGTGGGGTGCTATGCTGGTATCTGTGTCAGGAAGAATATGGAAATAGGCTGGATGGAAGGGATCAGAGTCCTGGGGGGAATTAGAGAGACCAATGCAGCAGAACTTGAAAGACTGGAGGCTCAGAAGGATGGGGCTTGGGATAAAGCAGGAGCTCATCTGAGCTTCTCATCTGAAAGGGATTCAGTACAAGGTGGTAGAACGAAACCTTATAGAAAAGTGTAAGTTTGAGCAACTTGACTATTTCTTTAGAAATACAGAACCCTATCCCAGCTACTTTCCTGTGGTAAAGTCAGCACTGAAATGGGTTTTGTGCAGTTCTTACAATCAGAACGATGCAAAGCTGCTATTACTTCCAGCCTTGTTCAAGCACAGCAGGTGTGTATATGCGAGGGAGAGAGCAGGCTTCTAAGACATCCACCTTCCTAAAGATAACTAGGCAAAGTTAATCTGTATAAGAATTACAGAATCTGTATCGAATATTGCAGCTGCCCAATAATTTGCACCTGTGGCAAGGTGGGACACTGGCTTTATGGAATGAGATTTGTGTGTAGTGTAAATATGTAAACTATGATATGGACAATATCATCGTCTGCTGGAGGGACAACTAGCCTGTAATGATTGCCGGAGAGCAGGAGCTTTTGCATTTCACCACTAGGCAGCAACCCAGCACTTCATAAATCAGATTGGAGCTTTGGTTTAGGCAAGGAGAACAATCACCAGTGTCAGCATCTGCTGTGTGCATTCTTTTACAACATCTAAGCTAGCATATATTTCCATTACGTTCATAACAAAACAGATGTGAATTATCACCCTGCCCTTTCTCTTTCACAATGACCTTGGAAATCAGACAAAATTCATTAAACTAAGTCTGCTGTGTATTTTCATGGGGAAAAAAATTACATTGCCATTCTTCCTTTTGATTTCCCTCTCCCTTTTTTATCTTGAATTTTAAGAGACAAAATTCATGCAAGGCCATGACCAACACCCTCATTGCCAAAATATGTATTTCTAAAATGATGAAGACAGTTCTCTTTTAAAGTACTGGAAGAGACGTCTGACACTTTCCTAGATTTAACAGTTGTGCATGCCAGCAGAGTCCCTGCCCAAATGTGGAAAAACGGACTCCTACTTAAAGACACTGACATAGTCTGGCACACTGACCTGGATATAAATTCTCATCCCATATAAAGAGATTTAATGAGAAGCCAGGATAGAGAACACTTAATCAGCAGCTCCTGCGGTTGTTCCTGCTGTCTTTCCTAGTCCACGTCTCTACTACAAGGTTCTGTCTGTGGACCAGGAAGGTAGGAAGGATATGAAGAGATGGGAATTGTGGATTACAATTCACTCTATGAAAATTAGAAAACTTCACCCAGAAATGCTCCTTCCCTCCTCACACCTACCACACCATATCTGCTCCATGCAGAAAGTAACCGTGCTATGAGATGTATTATTCCACGTAGCTTAAGACCAGAAATCTTTCCTCATAGTACAGCCGCATTTGCAGGCACACATCCCTTCTCTCAATTCCATCCTTATCTGCCCCCATCACATGACCCAAAATGCAGCCTCACACAGTGGCTTGAGAAAATAGAGAGAGCTAAGACAACCTTTTTCTCTGACTCAAAGCTAAATTTACTTTGCGCTATTTCCAAGGAAGTATGACAGGAGCAGAAGGACCACATTAGAACAGCCACATGGATCAGATATTTCATCAGTACAATTCACTATTTTAATCAGACTGTAGCATGTAAATAAGACTTTTCATGTATACCAAAACTTGAGTTATCTATGACAGGGTTGATCACTGCCTGGCAACTAAATCAGACAGCCTAGATTATCAGGTAGATCATAAATAACAGTAAGACTTAAGTGAAATAGTAGATAATACCTTTTCCAACTTGTTAATATTAATTTTGACAGCCCTACTACCACATTTAACTACTGAATTAATTCTTTTGTCTCTGCAACCTATTGCTCTGAAGAGCAGATCTCCACTGCTTGTATAAAATGGGAATTAATCACCAGATTATTGCTAGAATAACTGAATTGTCAGTTAGATTTTATTCAGGATTTAAAGTTATATGACCAAAGGGAAAAAAAGGAACTTTTTTTTTTTTTTCACACAAAGAAAAATTTTATATGTGCATGGCCAAAAATAGCTTCATTTCCTCCAGAGTATGTAGAGAATAGCAGAAGTCTTATTTTTGGCAAATATTACATTTTTAGTTCACTCAAATGTTATTTGATTCAAGAGCTGAAAAAAAGACAAAAAGATTATTCTGAAGTCTTAATGCTTGATATGCTATTGAAAATCTTTCCCAGATAAGTCTCAACTGCATGCTATCCCAAACTTGAAGAATATAGCTGATTTGCATCTGTGTCCAGTATTATAAATCCATATAAAGTGTGTTGATATGTTGGCTTTCTGCTTTTAAAAAGTTAGTTGACAAAAAATGTTGTACTTTTGGCTTAAATTTCAAAGGTTACTTTCTCAAGGCTACTATCATTGTGATGAGAAGAAAAAGTAATGTCTTTAGAATTTATTGCATTTTTGTTAATGCTCATTTGAACAGAATATTCAGAAAGTCAAAAAAAGAAACCCGCATAATAAAAACAACAAACCACAAGGTTGTTGGCATTTTTTTAGCTTTCATTATAGGCTTTGCTCTTTGTTTTCACTGTCTGAACCCTCACTTGTATTGTAAGACACTGGTTTCACCAATTTCACTGGTGGTAAGCACAGATGTGTGTTAGTGATAGCACAACTATGTTGCATATAGTTTTAATTATGTCTGAAGTAAAGCACGCACTTTGATGTGTTGGGACTTTGACAGAAATCTTCAGGTAGTGGAAATTACAGCATCATACAGGCTAAAGGCTAAGCGTTCCAAGTTCTGAGCAGTGAGTTCTCCAGATCCTTTCAGCTGTCTGCTCTCGCCTCCTTTTTCTTCCACCATCAGCTGGAACCACTTTCCTTCTCCACCATGCCATATATCGTCAAATATGACTTCATCTGTGTTCTGACTTTCTGTGGCAGCTTCTGGCCAAAAACGCTGGACAAAGATGTGCCATCCAATGCACTGAGCTCCAGCTTCATGAGGCATTTTTCAGCCCTTAGGCTTTTTGAAAAATATTACAGGTAGTGCTGCCACCCTATCTCCTGAGAACATACCACAGCTTAGTCCCATTCTGTGGTACATGCCGTGCAAACTACTGCCAGACCTGTGAACAGCAATGAGCTTGTATAAGACCAACAGAGATCAAAGCCTTCAGTCTCTTCTGAATGTGTTGTTATTCTTGTCAACAAAAACGTCACAGTAATCTTCCAAACCTCTACATCTCTCCCATTCCCCGTTTGCATTTGCACAGCTATCAAAAAAAATGGATATTCTAGATCAAGGATCTAGATATTCCCTCTCTCTTATCAGTCTTTGAAAAGAATATTAAGCTTATACAGGGGTTTTCATTTTGTTTTACAAACTGCCCTAGCAATTGAACAGTAATAACCATGTACACTTTTCTGACCATGCACCAATTGCCACGAATGCTCTGGAATCAACAGACATAATGTATTCTTCTGGCTGATGTATTTGAGAAATAAGTATATTCCATAACTGAGTAGATTACCCTCCTTACACATGTGTATGCATGCATGCATAAAACATGCGATTGTGGAGGGAGGATGTAGCTTCGATTAAGGTCACATTTTCAGCTTGACTTTTAAGTGAGAAACTGACGCTGATGCATTTGGATATAGATTTGCTAAAGCGGTTTATCTTGATAAATCCATTTATCGGAAACTCCACTGTCAAATCACAACTTATCCCTTGGAAAAATATGTCTTAAGAAAAGACCAGCTACCAGAAAATGTGATTAACAAGAGAGAAGCAAGTGGAAAAATCCAAAGCTGTCTCAGTCAGTCCTCCTTCAAAGTTAATGGTTCAGTAGACAAACATGGGTTGCTTAGAAAACAGAGTAGGTGCAGCTCCCTACATCAGTTTTACAGTGGGTAGCTTCACTGATCTTTCATTGGCATCCAGCAGGTCATAAAAGTCCTGCCAACAAAAAACTCAACATGTTCAGGTTCATCCCCTGAAAGCAGAATGTTAGGACTCCCAGTGACAGTGAGCTTTGATCTTTTTACACGCTACTCTATACGCAAAATGCAGCAGTAATGAAGAACATTCAAGTAACAGCAGAACCATATTGTAATAGGTTAAACCTCAAACAGCCCTAAAAATTGAGGAGGAAAGATTGTTTTTAAATTGGTTTCTTGGTTCTCAGAAGCTCTCTAATTCTTAGAAAATAAAAAGTAGTGTGACTAATTTTCAGACAGGATGAATTATGGTAGTTCTGCTGCTTTCAGTACTGCTGTAACAATTTTATATAATACAGCAGCTACACCCAAAACCCAAAGTGAGATTCTGCAAATGTAGAAACATATGGTTGATGGTAAAACAAAAATTGTATTCATCAGTTGTTTCATCACCCTCTTGTTTAAATGCTAAATAAGTTCCATAAAAACATAAATTACAATTTTACATGATCATTGCAGCTGAAAGTAGAGGGTATAACCAGAACGTTGAAATTTACAATACAGATATCAAAAGTATCAATTTCCCCACACTCTCCCCAAGAACTTGTCCATAAAGATTAACTTCCCTGTGAGCCAGGTCAATTCCCAGTGGTCTATCTGGCAGCTGCATTGCTTGCTTTGGAATAACACCGAGGAACTAGCTGATACAGCCTGTGAGGTCCTATGTAGGGGGGTTCTATGTTATTTTAAAGTAAGGAAAACAATCACAAAATTATTTTGGCTTACAGAATGCAACTGCAGAACTTCAGATGCAACAGGGCAAGACATTTATCTTGGATCTGACAAGATGTCTCTTTCTGCAACTGAAATTTTGTGATTCTGTTACATGTGTGCTCACCAGGCACATGGAGGACAATCAGGGGATCAGGCCCAGTCAGCATGGGTTCATAAAAGGCAGGTCTTGCCTAACCAACCTCATTTCCTTCTACGACCAGGTGACCCGCCTGGTAGATGAGGGAAAGGCTGTGGATGTTGTCTACCTGGACTTCAGCAAAGCCTTCGACACGGTCTCCCATAGCATTCTCCTGGAGAAGCTGGCAGTTCATGGCCTAGATGGATGTACTCTTTGCTAGGTTAAAAACTGGCTCGATGGCCGAGCCCAGAGAGTCGTGGTGACTGGAGTTAAATCCAGTTGGCGGCTGGTCACAAGCGATGTCCCCCAGGGCTCAGTTCTAGGGCCAGTCTGGTTTAATATCTTTATCAATGACCTGGATGAGGGGATTGAGTGTGCCCTCAGTAAATTTGCAGACAACACCAAACCGGGTGGCAGTGTTGATCTGCTTGAGGGGAGGAGGGCTCTGAAGACACCTGGACAGGCTGGATTGATGGGCCGAGGCCAACTGTATGAGGTTCAACAAGGCCAAGTGCCAGGACCTGCACTCAGGTCACACCAACCCCATGCAGCGCTACAGGCTCGGGGAAGGGTGGCTGGAAAGCTGCCTGGTGAAAAAAGACCTGGGGGTACTGGTTGACAGCCGGCTGAATATGAGCCAGCAGTGTGCCCAGGTGGTCAAGAAGGCCAATG